AAAATAAACAAAACAATATGAAATCTTTTCTTTCATTTCAATTCTCAGATTTTGCAAAAGTTTGTCATTACTGTAATCATTGATGCCATTACTGTAACCAATACTGTAATCATTGATAAAGTTGCCAATCAGAAATTACAAATAGCTGCCTATTGCATTAATGCATCGTTATCATTATTCATTGATGATTTATTACTATGTTTGAACTTTGACCTATCAATGATTTTTGCTACATGTGAGTGAATTATTCGAAAGCTTAGTTGAAGTAATTATTATTATTAATGATAATAATGATGATAATACATGTTCGAAGGAAGAAAACCATAAAATACTTCATTTGAAATAACAGATCAATCAACAATTATCAGTGATCAGTGACACATTGCAATAGTTTTATACATTTTGCACAAATTTTTTTACGGGCTACTAGAAATTTTTCAAATTTTTATACAAATAAGTAAAAATTGCAAAATTTTATGAATATTTTTAATTTTAAAAATTTAAATTTATACAAATTAGTTACAGTAAATTAATTAAATACTAATATAGTTAAATGATTAAAATGATAGGCATTTGTTGTGTGAGTATTAGTAAGATCAGCGAAATATGCATACATTAACCTTTATTGACCATTAAATAAATGTAGCTTAAAAATATGACATTAATGGATTTTGCAAATAAGATATAACTTATTTATCTTATCATAACTTATAATAGTAATAGTGATTAATTAATTAATGCTTTAAAATGAAATTATTTCATTTATAGGAAAATTTTTAATTTGAAATGAAACTTAAATTTGATGTATTTAATAAATTTTACTAAAATTTCCCTTAATAATTTCCACATTTTTGTAAAATTCTTTTCTAAAAATTTGTATAACACATAAAAGATAATTTGATGCTTTATTTTAGTAACAGAATTTAATCATTGATTTCCTCGCTTATAACTTATATTTGAATTGAAAATATCGTAGAAATAACGAATGATTGATTAATTAACTGACAATTTTTCAACAATTATTTCATTCATTTGATTTGAAAAAAAAAATTTTTACACTTATAAAACTAACGAAATTTCATTTTATTTCCTATTTTATAAGATGGCAAAAAAAAGAAAATTGGAAATTAAAAAAATCAAACAAATTAATCGTTTCATTTAATTGTTATTTTGTTTATGAACAATTTCAATCAAACATTTTCATCGTTTACAAAACAAAAAAGTATAAAAAAAAAGAAACGAAAAATTAAAAACTAATTAACTAAAACACAGTTGTCGATAACAAATGATTGGCTAAAATTTTAATAGCTTTTCAGTTGGGGAAAAAAGAAAACTTGAAATTTAACAGATGACTAGTTATTTGAAATGTAATTATCATTGCTTTTAGTATGCCCATATTACTGTCTTCCCAATTACCAATCAATAATTAAAAAGGAAATCAAAAAATACGTTAAATTACTAAATTAAAATTATTAAATTATATTTTAGTTTTTACTAAATTACTAAATTATATTTAGGTTTTTTTAAGTAAAAAAATTATATTTAAGTTTTTACTAAATTACTAAATTATATTTTAAATTATATTTAATTAAATTACTAAATTATATTTAAGATAAAAAAATTTTATTTCAAAATAGGTTTTAAAAAAAAAGAATGAAATTTAACACAATAATGTTTGAATTTATTTGTCTGTTTCTTTTTTTTTTGTTTTTGTTTTAATTAATTTATTATTAAAAAGTGATTAATTTAAACATAACTGATAATACCAAATAATCTTATCAATTTTTTTTGAACTGTAAATTTTTTGGAAAAAAAAAAAGGAAGCTATAAAACACAAAATATATACCAACAACTAGAGTATTTACAAAAAAAAAATCTTTTTAACTTCTAACAAATTCCAATCATTTTATATCATTCTAAGAATTTGAAATAATTAAGTCATGAAAAATTAAATTTTTGAAATTCAGAAATTTTGCTTCGTTTTTATTTCAAAACTTTTGCACAAATAATATGACAACAATGTGAATTTAAAATGGAAAAAAAAAAAGTTGAAAATTTGACAAACATTTTTTAATGTTAATTTTTTTCTCATACAATTTTTTTTTAAAAAAAAAGTGAAATTTTAAACAAAAAAAACTTTTTTAACTTTTTTCTCATACAATTTAAAAAAAAAAAATGAAATTTTTTAAAAAAAAACGAAAAGACAAAAGTTAAATATTAATTTTTTTTTTGAAAGAAAAAAAAGGACAAAATGTTAATTGAATTATTTTATTTCATTTGTTTTGTTTCATTTCAGAAAAAAAACGAAAAAGAAAAACTTTTTAAAACGCTAATTTTTACTTTAACTAATGAAGCAAACAGCTCCTCTTCATCCTCCTTTTCTCATTCTTTTCTTTATAGTTTATTATTAGTTTTTTTCCCATTCCTTTTTTTTTTTTTTTTGTAGAAATGTTTAATTATTTACACTAGTAATTGATTAATTAATTAATTATTGATAAGTTAAACTAATCTGTTATTTATTATTTAACTCGAAAATATGATATAAATTGTATAAATAATGATGATACATATATTTCAAATCCTTTTGATTACTTGTATTATTAATTTAGTTAAGTAATTAACTAATTGTTGGCAAATTAAAATATTCTATTACCTGTTATTTAACTTAACAATATGATATAAATTATATAAATAACGGGATATACATTTCAAGCTTTAATTATTTATTTATTTACATCAGTAACTAGTTGATTGATTAATTAATTAATTAATTAATTGCTAACACTTTGAAGTAATTTGTTACATGCTGTTTATTTTATAAATATGGCATGAATTATGCAAATAATAATATATATGTGTCAAATTGTCCAACAAATAAAAAATTAATTGAATAAATAATGAATAAATGAAGAAATGATTTGTTATAATTTCTAATATTTATTAAAAAAGAAATAATTCCTTTTATTAGTAAAATTTTCATAAAATTAATTTCTAAATTAGCAAAATTGTTATAAAAATTAACCTATTATTTATTTTGTTTTTTCATTTTCACTTTTCTTAGCAAAAGATTTGAATTATTTATTTATCATTTTAGCATCATTGTTTATTGGTTGTCGAAAGCAGAAAGCAAACTAATTAATTAATACTTCTGATAAACAAATAAGAATGGTTATTCTGGGAGTAATTAATTAATTAATGCTTATAATAAACAAATAAAGCAATTAGGATTAAATAAGTATTTGAATTATTATCATTATGAAATGGATTGGACAAATTTATTAAATAAATTTCTGATCGAAAATTTAAGGAAATTTTTTCCTCACATATATTTTCATTACTATCAAATGATTTATTCCTAATGCTATTTTAAATGATATTTTACTAATTTACTTTTTATAATATAATTTTCAAATTATATTAATTACATATATGTTTGCATTTGTTTGTTTGTTTGTTTGTTTGTTTGTTTGTTTGTTTATTTGTTTGTTTATTTATTTATTTATTTATTTACTTATTTGCTTGCTTTTTTTTGAATTTATCAAAATTCAACAATATATTAAAAGTTTAAATTCAAAATTCTTTTATCCTTCAAACAAACAAATACTATTTCCATTATAAATATCTTTCATAATAGCAATTAATCAATAATGCATACTTGTATGAAGACTTCTTCCAGTTTAACTTCTCGGAAGTTGATATAATTGTGATAGATATGGTAAATTGCCGCTTACTTATAAAAATTGATATTTCAGGATATTCCGGTTATCTTTTTTTTTTTTATTTTCACAATTTCTATTTCAAACTATTTACATCATTCATCCTTTTCCGGTTTTTCCGGTCTTACTTTTTCATTTCAAATAACAATTCGTTTTTG